TTTCAGCGAATGCGCGTTAAACCATGCAAGCGTTTTTTTTGGAAACAATTTTTCCTCCACATCCAAAGTGGGGTTCTTGTTTTCTCTGGACTCCCCGCGCACGAGAAGGAACATCCCTCCCTTCTCACTCACGCACTCATACACTCACATCATCATCATCATCATCATCATCACCGCATCGTCATCATTTACACACTCGCACACACTGTAATTCTCCAATTCACTCACTCACAACTAGTAATCATCATCATCATCATCATCATCATCATCATCATCATCATCATCATCATCATCATCATCATCATCATCATCATCATCATCATCATCACAACACCATCGTCAACCGAGCCTCGTGTGTCAGTGAATTGCGAGGAAGTCTCAGGCGGGAACCCCCTCCTTATGGTGCCAGCCGCTCGCGTTTTGAATCCGAGCGGGTCATTTGCACGTTGTAGCTGTCGTCATTTTTGGGGCCCTGAGGCTGACTGAAATATGGAGGATGTATCGGGCGGGAGCCTCGTCTGTGAGTGAATTGCAAGGAAGTCTCAGGCAGGAACCCTCTCCCTATGGGGCCCGCCGCTCATGTTTTTTTATCCGAGCGGTCTATCAGAACCTTGTAGCTGTCGTCACTTTTGGTGCCCTGAGGCTTAGATATGGAGGAAGTATCGGGCGGGAGCCTCGTCTGTGAGTGACTTGCAAGGAAGTCTCAGGCGGGAGCCCTCTCCCTATGGGGCCCGCCGGTCATGTTTTTAACCCGAGCGGGTCATCGGGATCCTGTAACTGTCGTCATTTTCGGGCCCCCGAGGCCTGAATATGGAGGAAGGAAGTATCAGCGGGTGGCGGCCGCATTGTGCATCGCGCTGGACCTTCGCGCGTGCCGACGCAGTGACACGCACGACGTGCAGGAGTCCACCTACAAGCGGCCGCATCACCACTCCTGGCGAGTCCCCATCGTGTTGCACCTCGGCGATTTCCCGCAGTTGAAGAACACGGGCAGCATCGGCCTCCTGACGGTTGTGAATGAACTCCTGGACGACGGGTCCTACAAGTACGTGGAGCCGCTGACGGTGGATATTCAGCACGCCATCAAGGGCTTCTCTCAGAGCCCTTGCGTCTTTGACCTGAAACGCCCGAAGCGCTTCGAGCCCGGGGCCCTCTGATCACGTTCTTCAGCTGCACGCGCGAGAGCAAGCCCTTCCCGCCAGAGGTCTGGTCCGCCTGGGAAACGACGTTGGCCTCGGACAACCACGGCGTCCTGGGCCCTCGGCGCCAGCGCGTCGACAGTCGGTTCGGCTACTGCGTTGGCATCTACTGGGACACGCTGGCGAGGGGGATCAACGCGCGCGCTCGTCGCTACTCGCGGCGTCTGGGCGCGCCCCTCGTTTTCTTGCAGGCCGTGGACGAGTGCAACGCGATGCAGGGCGATTCCGACGCGGACCGGCGCCTCCTGAACGTCCCGAACGCGCGCGAGACGGGGGACATCCGCGGCGTCTTACCGGCCCACGTCGGCATGGAGGTGAGATTGATTCACGGTGGTGCAGGAAGAGCTGGATGGGGCTCGTGCAGGAGCAAGGGGCCGCCATCGTATCCTTCGAGTTTCACCGCGAGGACGAGCAGCGGCGCGAGGGGTGCTCGCCAGGCCAGCTTTTCTGTCTCCGTCGCCTACCGCGGAGTCTCCGATCTACCAGGAGGTCGCCGAGGTATTGCTACGGGGCGCCGAAGGCGCCGACGACGACGGCGAGGCCGAGGCGCGGGCGAGGAGCTTGATCGTGCTCAGGCCCATCGAGCACGAGTTCACATGGCAGAGCTCGGGGCCGCGCGCCGCGCGCCGCTCGCGGTTAACCGTGGCGCGCGCGTCGCGCCCCAGTTCCGCGCTGTCGAAGGGCCAGACGCTGCGCGAGGGCGTCGCCATCGACCTGCGTGAGGGGCGAGGGCGCTGGTCGCGCCGGCGTGTCGGACGATCAGTGGCGGCCGGGCCTCTACGCCATGCTCTCCCGCGCCGCGCGCGCGCGGGCCGTGCTGATCCCGCGGCCGCCGCCGCGGGAGTTCCTGGAGCGAAGGCCGCCGGCATCCCTGCGGAAGGCGGTTCTCTGGAGTTCTTCGTGGGGCGGCGATGGGGGGGGGCGGAGGAGGAGGTGGAGGAGGGCAGGGCAAAGGCAGAGGAGGAGGAGGAGGAGGGGGAACGTGAGGAGGACAGGGAGGGAATGGAGGAGGCGGGGGAAGACGGGGGGGAGGCGGAACACGAAGAGGATGAGAATTGCAACGAGTAGGACGATGAGGAACAGGAGGAGGAGAAGGAGGAGACGGGGGGGGAGGGGGAGGACGGAGAGGGCGGAAGGCAACTTCTGCCAGACGGAAAAGGAAAAAGCGAGGGGCGATCGACAGCGATTCTTACGTGGGGTCCTACCGTCGGAGTAATTTGTATCGTTCGATTAGTTATGTCTTGGAACGGCGAATGTATCCTCTCTCCCTCTCTCTTTTTGTTGTCCCCTTTTCCGGTTATATGTGTATATGTAGACACCCACATGTTTATTATTCGTAATACCATTATGTGTAAGTTTGATATCGTTATCTTGCTTATATTCATACACTTATATATTCTATATATTTATGTTTATCATGATTCCGGCACGCGCTCGTGTTAGCGCTCGCCTGTGTCCCGCATGGTATTGTCTAGCAAGGGGCATTCGGAAAACCCACTTTTTAGATCAACGAACTTCCCCCCGCGTAGTTTTATGTGACATCGATAAGAAATCTGGCTGGCACTGCATTGTATGATATCCAGCTGCCTGCGGCAAGTCCCGCCGCAGTTTCAGCCCGGCATTCTGGGTGGCGAGTGTTCGGGGGGGCATGGGAGGCCGTCGCGTGTTGTCTCCAAGCTTGGGGGAAACGTGATGAGTGAGGTGAGGATTCTGACGATGAGGGGTGATGACGATGATGGGGGTGATGACGATGATAATGAGGATGACGATGGTGATGACGATGCCGATGCTGATTATAATGGTGATGAGGATAGGGATGATGGTGATTGTGGTGGTGGTGGTGGTGATGAGGACAGTGTTGGTGATTGTGGTGGTGGTGATCACGATGACGACCACGACGGCGACGTCGAATAGTACGACGATGATGACGGTGATGATGACGAGGATCATGATGATGATGATCACGCTGCTGCTTATGAGGATACCGATGCTAAAATTGTTTGTTGCAGACGACGATGATGATTATGATGATGATTATACAGACGACGATGATAATTCTGATGATGCTGATGCTGCTGATGCTGATGATGTGGTTTGCTGACAAGGATGATGCTGATGCTGCTGATGATGATGGTGATGATGCTGCTGATGGTGATGATGATGACAGCTGTGGTAGTGGTGATTGCCTGGTGATGATGATAATGATGATGACGATGATGATGTCGTTCGCATTAGTTATTGTGATGATCTACTGCTGATGATGCTGATAACGATAACGCTATGGTGATGATGGTGGTGATGGTGATGATGATGATGCCGATGCTGATGATGATAAGGATGATGACCAGGGTGATAGCCATGCTGTTGCTGCTGCTGATGATCATGATGATGAGGTGGATGCTAATAAGGATGATGATGATGCTGATGATGACAAGGGTGATGTTGCTGCTGCTGCTGATGTTGATGATGATGATGGTGATCACGACGACGACGATGACGACGACAACGATTCTGATGCTGATGCTGATGCTGATGCTGCTGATGATGATGATGCTGCTGCTGTTGTGGATGATGGTGATGATGCTGATGATGATGATCATGAGGATGCTGATGATGATGGTGTTGATATTGATGATGATGCTGATGATGCTGATGATGGTGATGCTGATGATGATGCTGATGATGATGATGGTGATGATGATGCTGATGATGGTGACGAATAATAGTAATAAAAAACATGATGCTGCTGATGATGATGGTGATGCTGGTGGTGGTGGTGATGATGATGATGAATGATAATGATGATGATGATGGTGATGATGATGCTGCTGATGATGATGATGATGAATAGGATGATGATGATGATGATGATGATGGTGATGGTGATGATGATGATGATGATGATGATGATAATGATGATGCTGCTGATGCTGATGCTGATGCTGATGATTATGATGCTGATGATGATGTTGATGATGAGGATATTGATGTTGATGATGATGATGATGATGCTGATGATGATGATGATGATGATGATGATGATGATGATGATGACGATGACGATGATGATGATGATGATGATGATGATGATGATGATGATGATGATGATGATGATGATGATGATGATGATGATGATGATGATGATGATGATGATGATGATGATGATGATGATGATGATGATGTTGTTGAAGATGGTGGTGATGATGATGGTGATATGATGGAACTCGTTCGGGCCGTGTTGGGGCTGTCTGGGCCTCCTATGAGGCAGTTTGGGGGGTTCCTTGTGGCCCTCGTGGGCCGTCTTCGGGCCCTCTTACGCAGGCTAGGGTCTCTGTTGGGCCGTTTTAGGGCACTCTTGGCCGTATGCTGGGTGTGTGGGGCCCGTCGTGGGGCCGTTTGGCATCGTCTTGGGTTCCAAGGGAGGCCCTCTTGGGCCGTTTTGGGGCTGTTTTGGATGCCTCTTGGGTCATCGTGGAGTCCTCTTGGGTCGCCTTGAGCCGACGGCAGTCCGAAAAGGCGAGACTGCGAAAATCATTCAACATCCAAAGGGATTAATGATTTTGGCTTCTTCTGACCCCGTTGGGGGTCGTCTTGAGGCCATTTTGGACCCTTTTGTACGCACCTTGGACCGTCTGGAATCAAGATTCGGGAGCGTTGGGGCCATCGCGCCATCTTGGGCCGTCTTTGGGGCCTCTCGGGCCATCTTGGCGTCCTTGGTTGCCCGGGCGCTCCCCGAACTCCTGGAGCGCGCCGTGCTTGCAGTCGCCGCGCCCGACGCGCGACCCTGCACCGCGCCGGCAGGTCACCACGCGGCTGTGCAGCAGGACGAAGGCGCGCCGCGCCGTCCCCTCCCCGCCGGCCTCGCCGCGTCCAGAGGGCTTTCCCATGGTTCGGGGGCAGCGCCAGGAGGGGATGCGCTCGGGGGGGTGCGCCGACGTGCTCGAGGTTCTCGGGCGTTTTCGTCGGCTCTCGTCGGCTTTCCAGCCTCGGGGTGCCTTCCAGCGGCTGCGCTTCGCCGAGAGCGTTCCACGGGTGCTCGGATCGTCCCGAACGGCCACCAGAGAGCCGAGCTGTCACAGAAAGCCATCGGGGACGCAGATAGGCTCTGTGGGGATGCGTCGCCTGCCAGTCGCGCACTCATCGCCGGCATGGGGCCCGATAGCCCACCCCGCTCAGGAGCGTGCGGTTTCGCCGTCGGGAGCCCTATCGCCGATCTATTGGCGATGTACCACCGACGTTTCTGGTTGCCGCCCTCTGGCCCTGTGGGGCCGCTCCGGGGCGCCCTCCCCGTCCCGAGGCCGTGGCTCCCAACGCCCTGCTCAGGGCGAAGCAGAGAGGACAGAGGGGGAGAGGAGAGGTCGGTGGTTGCTCAAAGATGGGGTCATGAGGGATGGGGTCCTGAGGATTGGAGGGGGGTCAAGGGTTGGTTCACATTGTTTGAGGCACCTCGTCTTGAGGATCCCATCCTCCGGTCCCCCCGTGAGCCAGCCCCCGGTATTGTTACCAGTCTGGGAGCACCGTTTCTTCTGGCTGCCGGGGGCGACGGAGGAAGCGCGACCGCGCCGCCGTTCGCCGCCGGGGGGCCGTCGGAGAGGATGATCTTACACCGACGGAGGGGATCTCCAGTTCGTGACCCAACCTCCTTCTCTTCTTCTTCTTCTTCTTCTTCTTCTTCGTATTCTTCTTCCTCCTTCCCCCCCCTCCTCCTCCTCCTCCTCCTCCTCCTCCTCCTCCTCCTCCTCCTCCTCCTCCTCCCTCCTCCTCCTCCTCCTCCTCCTCCTCCTCCTCCTCTCCTCCTCCTCCTCCTGCTCCTCCTCCTCCTCCTCCTCCCCCTCCCTCCTCCTGCTCCTCCTCCTCCTCCTCCTCCTCCTCCTCCTCCTCCTCCTCCTCCATGCTGCTCACGAGGACTTTTTCATGTCCTGGGTGCGCCGCACTCCGCCCTCCGCCTTCCGCAGCCGCCCTCTCCCCCCTTCGTGGCCGCCCTCTCCCCCGGGGCCGTCGGAGAGCACCCGTCTCACACTTGGTGGGCCCGTGTCGTGGTGTCGTGCTGGCCCCGCCCCGGCTCCTGGCGCGCGAGTAACCCCTAAGGGTCTTCGCTTTTGCTCCCCCCTCCCTGTTTCTCTCGGCGGGTAATAAAACTCGTCCTACCTCTTCCTCCCAGACTCGTCCCTCCTCCTCCTGTCGTCATCGCAGTCCGTCGATGAGGGCGTCCAAAAGATATCTAGTCTCCACTATCGGGGGGTTTTCCAAAGACCCTTGGGGGTTTAGTGAGATCCGTCCGTCCGGGCAACGTTTTGGCTTCAAAGTTACACGGTAAGTCCGCTTCACAAAGAATCGCTTCACCGGGGTCCTCGTGCGGTAGAGCTTCCAAGAAGGGCTCTTGGTTCCAAGATGCCTGCAGAAAATCCCAAGATGCCCCCATGAGAAACGTGATGCTCCAAAGGGGCCTCGCAATCGCGGATCTGGACAGTGTTTGGGCTTTAAACGGTGAATCCGATTCAGACGGCGTCGAATTTCAAACTGGCGTTTCCGCATGGGTGGTCCTTGCAGAATCAGGTCTTGCCACCCCGAGAGGCTTCAAAAATGTGCCTGGCTGCGTCAAGGCTCAAAGATTCCCCTGAAGGCACTCTCTCCCCTTTCGCTTTCCCTTTTCCTCCTTTGCCCATTTGCCCCTTAACTCTTCCCCCTGCCTCTTTCCCCGTTCCTCCCCCTCCCCCTTACCCATTTTACCACCCTCTCCTTCTCCTTAGGAGGTGGAGGGGAAGGCACAGGAGGAAGGTTGGATGGAAGATGAGGCGGAGCCATCAAGGAGGATGAGCAGGAGGACAGGGATAATGATGCTGCTGCTGCTGATGATTATTATGATGATGATGGTGATGGTGATGCGGATGATGACGATGATGCTGATGACGATGATGACGATGATGATGATGATGATACTGATAATAACCATGATGAGTATAATGATGATGGTGGTTATGATGATGATCCTGGTAATGATGATGCTCATGATGATGATGATTCGGATGATGTGGATGATGATAATGATACTGAGGATAATGCTTTAGGCGATGAGGATGATGTGGTTTATGATGATACTCATGGTGGTGAACATGATAATGAGCAGGATGCGGATGCTGCTGCTGCTGATGATGATTCTGCCGATGATGATGAGGATGATTTTGATGATGCTGATGGTGATGATGCTGTTGATGATGTTGGTAGTGATGGTGGTGGTGAACGTAATGATGCTGATGATGACGATGCTGATGATGATGCTGATGATGATGCTGACGATGAT